TACTGTAAGCGAACTCCAGCATCTGGTTGATGACGCGCGGCTCGTACTCGGTGATGCCCATGTCCTTGAGGATTTGCGCCATCACCTGCGGGGCAGACACAGGCACCGCTCAGCCCCCCGAGCCCCCGTCACGCCCCGGTCCCGCCCGGCTCCCCCTGAGCCCCGCTSTACTTGCGCGTCTTTCGGGGCGCTCTTGGGGGACGCCATCTTGGCCGCCTCCATCGCTTCCGGTCATGTGACGCAGGGCGCGCCGCTACGGTGGCCGGGAGGACGGCGGTTGCTATGGAGACGCGGCCTAGCGGCGTTGCCGTGGAGACGCGGCCTGGCAGGGCAGAAATTTATTTAACTATAAATATTCATGTAGAACATGAACAGACCTAATGGGCTGGATTCAGTGACTCTTTCCCCGCTCCTGCTGCTACAGACAGCCCAGTGCCCCCCATCTGCCCTGTGGTGGTCTAGGAGGGGATGTTTTGTTATTTTATTAACAGCTCTGAAGGCCACTATTTAAACTGYCAGGATTAAATTCCAGCATTCCCAGGATTAAATAAAAGTGACAGTGTGTTCCCACTGTTCTGAAAATAACAGGTTCCACTCTGGAAGCAAATTTAAAAGCTTTTTTAAAACTGGTTTTCATGGCAGCTGACTGGATTTGGGARRTATTTAAAGCRCATTCCGTGTGAGTTTTGTCAAAGWTTCTCACTTTCTGAGGCAAAACAGAACTAAAAATAAAGTTTTGCTGTGATTTTGCCAGGCAGGGGATCAGCAACATTCCAACAGCAGTTGCAATGTGTTGTTATTATCTGGGATGGTCCAGCTGCTGCCAGGGCTGGAGGAAAAGGATCTGCTGGGATCCCCCATCAGAATTCCTGAGAGATGGAGAAACTGTGTTGTTATTATCTGGGATGGTCCAGCTGCTGCCAGGGCTGGAGGAAAAGGATCTGCTGGGATCCCCCATCAGAATTCCTGAGAGATGGAGAAACCAGAGCTGCTCCCTCTGATCCACTCTGCGGGACATTCCAGC